GAGGAGTCTTTTTTTTTTTTTTAAAAAAAAAAAAAAACCTTCGAGTCTTTTTCATCTCGCGGTATCGCATAACTCTTCTAGCTCTTTAAAGCATGATATAGCGCAGCTGCTATCGATTATGCTTTTCTTGTACGGATGAAATAAATCGTAAAAAAGATATATTTACATTAAAAGAAAAACTTCGAAAGCAAGTTATAGCGTAAGTAGCGTAGATCGGTATCGATTATCGAGATAATTCGAGGCCGGACCAGAGTCAGCAAAATGGCCTTTTCGAAAGCATAATATCGGAAACCGTCTTGGACCCCTTTCTATCTTTCTCACCTCGTTCCTTATTTATCGCAAATCCTTTCAGTATTTTCAATCGGTATGCCGGCAAAGTATAGATCGCAGTCGGCGTAGTAGTCGAAGTAGAAAGAGGCTCGTTCGGATCGCCGGTAGCCCGCTCAAAAGAAATCTCTTCGAAAAAGCTACTTTTGATTCGATTTCGGCTTTCCAGACTCTCTCTGCCGCAAGGGAGAAAAGCTGGAGGTTCGCAAGGGGTACCTCGTACAAGTAGAGAGAATCGTAGCGCCTCGGAAGGAATATATGTAATTCGTTCGGTAAGCGCTTGTTTTCTCTCCCTCTCCTCCCTTTCTCCCTCTCCCCTATAAACCCCCCTCCATACGCAAGCCATCCATCCATCCAAGTCCTCACATTCATCACATCCATCATACCAAAAACCCCCCTGCAAAAAAGAAAAAACTACTTCAAGCAAGCCACTTTCAACCAACTCTTAGAATACGAAACGAAAATGAGAAAGTCCATTCGATATCCCCCCGCTTGACTTTACCTCACTTCACCTACCTACCTTCCTAGTATCCTACCTCCCTTCACCTTCCTCCCTCCCTCCCTCCCTCCCTCCCTCCCTCCCTCACTCACCTACCCACCTCACCTCACCTCACCCACCTCCACCCCCTCCTAAAATCCATCCCAGCACAACGCCTTCCAACGAATCCAATCCACTCCACTCCACTCCAATCCACTCCAACCCAACCCAACCCACCAGAAAAAAAGATTCGAATCTCGACACCATGTCGAAAAGAAGATGCGAATCGAGGAGCGCATGTACATCGTAAGCACGGATTTCCTGCGCACGCATACATGCATCTTCTAGGTCTCTTGCATGCGTTATTGCATTCTTGTTTTTAGCATGCGTTTTGCATGTGTGAGCGGTAATCTAACGACAGTTGAATGATGGGCGGTAAAGATTGATTGGCGATAGCGATGTGAGGGTGGATGGTACTAACTTGAGTATCAAGTTATTAGATCCGCCTCCCTGCTCCCCGCCCGCAAACGTTGGGAGTTAGAGAGGGAGGAGGGAGGTACCCAAGGATATCTGTACGTAGTATGGAGGAAAGTCGCTATCGGGATTCTTGAATTTGTAGCTTTGATATCTTTCTTTCGCTCCCCCACTTCCCCCCCCCCCCCCCCTCCCCTTCCTATCTCCTCCTTCTTTATGCAGTACATTCGGATAGAATATTCCCGTCACGCATAATAATATATCGATAAATTTTTGAACCCAATTCGTTCTATAATGAGCTATAAAGATAAATATAGCTATAACATAATAGTACTTTTGAAATTTTAACCGTCGCAGACATATGCATCGATATATGTATAAGCGAGGAAGATATTTTGCTCGCTAAATTAAGCAGAAAAAAAAGAAAGCAAAAGAAATCACAACTTGGCTCGAATCACCTGCTGATTCTGCTGCTGCTGCTGCTCGCCGCCAAACATAGACTGCACCAGCTCGCCTCCACGGACGGCCAGGATGGAAAGGAGGGTATCGCTCAGCTGTTTGCCAGTCAATTGGTTTCCCATATCAGCGGCGAGGGAAGAACTTACACCGTGCGTCTTCTCGTTGCAGCCTTGCAACCAGACACCCGCGTCGGGGGCCACCTTCGACTCGTCAAACGCAATCTTGTAGTCGCGGCGGACGGGGAACGCTCCCTGTTCCCGGTCTTGCGGGCGGAGGAGTCCACGCGTGTGGGTCAGCATGCTCTCGTGCGCGTTACGCTCGTAGCCCGTCGCCACGAATACGGCGTCGACGAGCAGTTCCTCTTCGCTTGCGTCCATGGCGTCTGGACCCAGCTTCGCCAGGCGCAGCAGCAGCTTCCCGTCCGCGGTCTCGCGCGCCTGGCTCACCTGGCGGTTGGAGCGGATGCCGAGGGGCCAGGTGGCCGGATCCTCGCTGTGCAGGCGCTGCAGGTACAGCTTCTCGTACAGGTGCTCGAGCAGGTGGAGGCGGACGACGCCGTAGTTGGTGGCCTTGTCAGCCGTGATGCGAGTCGCACGCAGGGCGCTGTCAGTGGCAAAAATGCCGTCCACGCGCTCCGGGTCAAGGATCTCGTTGACGAACGGTGAGTCGTCGCTCGGACGCAGCGCGCTGTCCTTGATCAGCAGCGAGACCTTGGCGTTGGGATATCGGGACGGCAGGTCGTTAAAGATCTCGGCGGCGGATTGTCCATTGCCGACCACGGCGATGTGATACGCCTGGCTTGGATCGGGGAGGGCGGATAACACCTGCTGGGAGTACTTGGAGGAGTGGACGACCTGTCGGTGCGATTGCGGCAGCTCGGCTGGGATCTTCCCTTTGCCTCCGACGGCGATGACCACGTGCCTCGCTACCCGGGCACGTAGCGCCCCGGTCACGGTATTTTTCGACACGACCTTGAATTGAGACACCTTTCCGTTCTTCAACGTAACGTCGGGCTCGACGGAGACCACCTCCTGGCCGTACGTGACCCGGTCCTCGAAGTGAGACGCGCACCACCTAAGGTAGTCCTCGTATTCCAATCTCGACGGTGTGAACGTATCCAAGTTGATGAAGGTGTTGAGTCTGTTCTTGGAGAAGAGGTAGTTGACGAATGTGAAATGGGACTTGGGGTTCCGAGGCGTCGCCAGATCTTTCATGAAGGAGATCTGCATCTTTGCGCCAGGGAGCTGCATGCCTGCGTGCCATGCAAATTTGGGTTGGCGCTCGAGGAAAGAGACATTGGCAGCAGAGGATGATTCTGAGAGGGCGATGGCGATGGCGAGGGAAGCCGGGCCGAACCCAATGCAGATGAGGTCGTGGATTGATGTTGTGGGAGAGGTTGCTGCCGGTTTTAGAGGTCTGTGAAGAGGTCAGCTCAGCTCAGCTTACTCCCGTCGTATAGACCTCGAACATCCGCACGTACGCTGTCTCAGTTGGAGCCCAGACAGCAGCCGCGCTTCCAATCTCCTGTTGATTCGAAGACATCACAGGAATTTGGAATATTGCACGAAGGAGTTCAACAGTTTTCACGCCTGAAATGCTACTCTTTTATTGAGATTTGAGAATCAAATGGCTCGATAGGGTCGAAGCGAGCCAAGAGCCAAATTCTGTTGTATCGTCCGGGACAGCTATCCCATGAAACTGTCAGCACTTAATACGGGCGACATAGTAGGCCAATCCCAGCAAAAGAAATACACGGAACCATAAGGCCCGCGGATTGTAGCGAAGATATATACTAAAATCGGCGGCATGAGACGGCATCTTCGGGGGCTCACTTCCCCCCGATCCTGAACCATGATACTGGTCCTGGAAGCGTCTGTCTGCATCTGCCGCAAAGAATAGAAAAAACAGCAGTGACATACGCGAATAACGGCGTCGCAAGGCGTCTCGAGAAGAAGTTTGGAAGTAGAAATAGATATAGATATCCGAGCCAGATCAGCGCCAGGCAGGGTTCTTTGACCGAGCGAGGTGTCTATCGATCGATCTTCACCCGAGAAAAGGTAGTAGTATAGAATGCTGATAAAATGCGACAGATGATAGCAAAGCAAGACTAATAGACAATAGATAATAGATGATGGCGAGATGGACGGGTTGAGGAGGAGAAAGAGTTGCAGCGGATCGAAGAAGAAGAAGAAAATGAAAAGAAAAAGAGCGAAGAAATAGGTAGCCTGCTTAGCTTCCAGTTCGAAAGAAGACTAACCTAAAAGTTGGTGGTATGGTGTGTGTTGTCGGGAAATTCTGACGAGTCGTCAGTCGTCGGGTCGTCGGTCGTCGGTCGTCCGTCGTCCGTCGCCTTGCCCTTCGGTTCCGAATCCACCAGTTTGGTCAGCTAAGCCAGCCTCGTGCTTGGCAAGGTTTTTTTTTCTTCTTTTTTTTTCCCCTTCTTTTCGGGTCCGAACTCGTTTTCTATGGTAAAAAGGTAATCGAGTCGAGTCGAGTCAAGTCGAGTCGAGTAGAGTCGACAGAGTTTTTCAGGAAGTTCTGCTCAGGAGTCAGTAGGTTTTGCTGCTTGCAAGCATACCGATACATATATAACTTGCATACTACGTATGAGGTAAGGGGCAGAAGATGCTAGTAGATCCAAGGCGAAAAGTTTTTTTCTTGCATCGTCGTGCGTCCGAATCAATTTTCCCGTTATTCGATCGACGGTTCCCTCCGCCCAGGATCAGGATCAGGACGAGGACCAGGACCAGGACCAGCTGCAGCATCCATGCATGGAGGGAATGGTGAGTACGGAATATACTGTACCGGTAGTATGATAGTTGTGGACGTATTGGACGTAATGGATGTAATACCGTATATGCTCGCTGCACTTGAGATCTCATCATCATCATCGTCAAGATGGACAGCTCCTCAGTCAGTACGTCGGTCGGCGTCGGCGTCGGCCGCTAGCCTGAGCAGTCCGACCGAGTCTAGTACTGGTACCGGTAGGTATCCCTCTAGAAGACAGCAACACGTGGTGACCTCGTGATATGGCGAATCCCCGGAAATTCAATGCACGTGGCAGTTGGCTGCATGTGGTAGGCGGTAAGGTTCCCTAAGTGGAGTGGACCAGCCTTTGATTCAGAGCACGGGGTTTGTGTCGGCAACACCTACTCAGGATACCGGTATACGGAGTAGCTGTTGGAACTACCAGTCGGGGCACCTCCCTCCCTTGATCATTCATCGAGTGAGAGCGGGCACGATGGATCTGTGCATGCGGGGCGCGGGGGTTAACGTCGGCTGCATATTACTACTATGAGTGGTCTATTTCTTTTCTCTTCTTTTTTTCTTCCCTCCGGCTCTTGTTGTCCTCGCTCAGATCTGGCTCGCCCCGTTATCTTATTTTATCTTATCTGATCATCTCGAGTGATCCAGGTAGATCCTCGAGAGCACTCAATCGTCTTAGGAGTTCTTGATTTTCGCAGAAGACTTGGGCCGGGAATTCATCCCTGCCAGATTGATTCGCTGAGCAGTAGTAATAGTATAATGCAAAAGCAGACCTGCAATGCATATTACAGTTTCCAGTATTACTTGTATAACTCTACACCGCACGACACACCCCTTAAAGCAGGCCGGCTAAGGCGCTTTACCGACTGCTTTGTATTATTACGTAGCGGTTACTATTGCATGGCATTGTTTGCTTTGATAGCCCTTTCGCTAACGTAAGAATTTTGCTGCTATCTTCGTATTGCTTAGATTTTGGTCAGCGATATCGCTTGATTAAGCTAAGTAGTCATTACAGTAGATTGAGATGCATCTTCGCAACTAACGATAGCGAAGTGGCATCGGGTTTTCGGTTAAGAAAGCTTTAAACTGCACCTACAAAACTTGCTTGAATGTTACCGGTAGCTAGCGATCGATCGATCAATTAAGCTATCGGTGCGAATATAGCTCTTAACTGTTGTGCAAAAGCAAACCTGCAATGCACCTTGAAATTTCCAGTATTATAACCTTATACCGCACGACAAATAGGCATACGATATCCCGTCTAAAATCAACTCAAGCTCAACTAAGTCTGCACCGCATGAATCAGGTATACATATACCGGACATACATACGTATACAATGGCCGCATGACCGAATCGAAGGATACGGATCTCACAGTTGGAAAATGAATTAATTACTGGCGGAAAACCCCCGCGACACCGGGACGGACATACGCGGTAATTGCATAATGCAGAAAACTTGCTGGAAAAGCATACCGAGGGTACTGTCTGTATCTATCTATCCATCTACCGATCTAGCATGAGCTAACGGGCAATACACATCATACTATAGCCTTTCCTAACGCTTCACACATGAACTACCATACCTTGACAAATAATGAAAATAAAGATACTCCATCAGAGATGATACGTACCTGCTCCATGATTCGAGTCCCAAAACTCATCCCTCTTCCATCCACACCGACCTCATCATGACGCAGAGACTGCTGCTGCGACATGACTCGGGTTCTAATTCCAGTTCCTGTCCGCGCAGGAGTTACGTCACGTCATAGCCACGTCCATCTGATAAGATAATCTGATCTGATTAGATGAATCAGGGATCTACAACTACTCTCCCCCTCCCGTGAAACATGTCGAAAGTATAAATTTGCAAGGGATCTTACCAGGGCTTAAACCAATCAACTTACTACGTACCATAAGAATCCAGCCTTGAAAAGTATCTTTAGCTCCGTATTTAGCCTGTGCAATTGAGCTGACAGGGCTTTGAGCCATTCCGAAACCACCGCTCTACGATTTATGGGGCTCAACTGGGTCCGACATTTAAACGTGGGGAGTATCTTACTCCGTACTTCTCCTACTTCTCCGGTACAACTACAGTAACAGCGGCATGCCCAAGCAAGGACAAGGACAGGGACAGGGACAGGGACAGGGACAGGGACAAGGATAGGAAAAGAAACAGAAAAGAAAAGAAAGGAGAAAAGTACGGAGCTTGTTGAGTGGATACGAGTGAGATGATTTGATCTGATCTGATAAGATTAGACTATGACACATGATATACGTATGCTCTGCCTCGGATTTACATACTACGTACAGAGGAGGGGCTGTGAATATGTACGTATGGTGCAAATGGCTCACCGAGGTAGGCGCGGGTTCCGTAGATTGAGTGAAGCTTGTGGAATTCTCTCTAGGAGACTGACGATACAAAAGATCTATATAGGTACCTTGATGCGCCAATGCGCCATTTAGGCGAGGTCATGTGAGTCAGGACTTGTGTGGAGCCTCAGGCATGCCGGTAGCTGCTCCACACAACCAGCTTGGGTGGGTCCTGAGGCATGCCCTATAGGGAGCATGGCTGTTCCGCACAACAACAGTATGTACTCTGTAAAAACTGCCTGATAAGCGTACGGAAATAAAAGGTCGGAAATATCATATATATATATACATATATAGATGTATGTATGTAAGTCTGCGGATGATGATCTGCTAGTTACGTACGAATCGCATTTCATCATTGTAGGAATAAATCTAGGGGTCTTTTAAAACCTGTATACTACCGTTCGCGACTCTCTCGCTCCCTCTCCGTCAAAATCTTATCTCAAAGGAAAAGGAAGAGGAAGAGGAAGAGAAGGAGGAAGAGAAGAAAGAAAAAAGAGGAAAGAAAGGCTCTCGCAGCGCAGTCATTCTCATCGTCGCTAGCCATCATTTATATTCATCCGAACATTCCGTCTCTAGTTCCAATATGACATCATCTGATCCCATCCCATCTCTGTCGTGAATTCCCGAAACTCTTTCGTAGATACCCACCTACCTACCTACCTACCTACCTACCGACCTATCTAAATATACCCCGATAAAGGAGCCGAGCCAGAAGCCAGCCAAGTTTACACACTTCTCCGCCGTTCCACTCCACTCCACACCACGCGTCCCCGCCCCGCTGCTGAATCCCAGCAATTCATACATATAAGCTATGAGTGTTCAAGACGGTAAATTGAATGGTCGGGTGGTGTAGTTGGTTATCACATCTCGTTAACAGTTTGACTGTAACACAATACCGAGAAGGTCCTGGGATCGAGCCCCAGCCTGATCATAAAATTACAGCTTTTGTTTCGGTTTTTTGACTTCCTTAAACTAGAAGGGGAAAAGGAGGGGAGAAGAAAGGAAGTTTGACTGGCCCAATTGCTTTGCTTCAATTCTCTGGATCGATTGATTGATTGATTGATCGATTGTTATCTTTACGCAAAGTCTGGGAATCTGAATGGGAAAGATGTCATTCTTTTTTTTTTTTTTTTTCAACATAATTGGTGAATACCTTCGTGCCGATGCCAAGCTCCTTAGCGAGTTGAACTCTACGGACGGAGAAGTTCCACCTCCATCTTTACTCTTACCTGTCCCTTCCCTAGAAATTCGCTCTTCTGGATTCAATTCTAAACGTTAGATTCAATATCGAATCAATTATTCTTCGAATCTTCTGGCCGTTCTACTTTGGATAGGCATGACTTTCTGCAAGACTACATGTAATAGTTAGTGGTGTATCACAAAGGGATGCGAGTGCCGAGAAGTGACGAAAACCCCTTGGTGAGATTTGGTTTGTACTTACTGGTCGCTGGTGATCCAGATGGCGGCGATCTCGGCTCGGAGGATACTTCCGGCCGTGCTTCCTGCATTGTCGAGTGCGACACAGACGCGCTGTTTGCTTAGAGGGAAGGGAGGGAGAGCTGGCTATCGATCCGCCAGTGTGAAAATTGTAGCGTCAGCTGCTCGTGATTGGATTTGAAATAGTGGTCAGACGATAAAGGAAAATGGATTGGGAGGTTTGGGGAGAACGAGCTCCTAATAGGGGCTTCTTGATCAGGCAGGTGGCGCTTAGAGACACAGACGTTGAAAGCTTCTCTTGTTCGCGAAAGCGAAGCGACAACCGCCGGCAGAATGTGCAGCATGTCTATCCGACTTTGGATGATATGAAAGGAAGTGGGCGTCCTTGCAGTAACAATGAAAAATGCAGAGACGGCCAGCTTTCTTTCATCTCGAGCAGTTTTTGACGTGAATTGGGGAAACACTCTTTGAATACATGGAGAACTGCGAAGAGAGAGACATCCAACCAAGAAGGATGACCAAAGCCCTGTATGATATATGCATTCAAAATACAAAGAATGGATTAGGCACTACCCTCAGTTCCTTTTCGTCCGCTAGGCACACTAGGAATATCTACGACAACAGGCTGTGGCGCATTCGGATCCGGTGGCCGGGGGATCTGTGACGCTGGGTCAACCAGCTCACTCTTCAACGTCGCCCAGTGCGACTTCCAAGTTGCCGGCGCCCCCGCTTCACAATACGCCATTCTCTGAACCATCTTCGCGAAGCTCGCCTTGCGCTCATCCCACCCTTCGAAGAGATCCCTATCTAGAGCGAACAAGATGGCTTCCGCGCCGCAGCGGCCAAAGACGGTACACCAGGGCAGACCCAGCACGCCGTTGCACAAATCCCGACACTGCGAGTAGTCTCCTTCGCCGAGACAGATGCGTGCCAGGGTGAGCGATTGGCTCTCGAAGAACTCCTCGGACGCCTGCATGGATGGATCGGCGGGGTCGTAGAGGACCATGTGGCAGAGTTCGAGGTCGAGGAGGGCCTTCTCGGCATTGATGGCGTTGGTGGCGTCGGCTCTCTTGAGGTTGCGGATGAAGACTCGGGTTCCTCTGTTCCAGCTCTTGAGAGCGGTGCGGCGATCGGGGTAGCGTGTGTTGTTGACGGACTCGAGACTCAGGATGGACGCTATCTGCACCTGGTGGGTCGAGATGGCATCGAGCATGCATTGCAGTAGGCCGTTGAATATCATGCGTCGGGTCTCGTCGGTGGGTGGAGCTGAAGCTGCGCTCGCCATCACATCCATTGCTGTCTTCACCAGTGCCTGCTGGCTTGTGGTGTTATCCCAGAACATCTGTTCGGCTTGAGAGCTGAACAGTAGAGCGCGGCCGAACCGCATTGCCTCTCTGTCTTCAGGGGTCAACGAAAGAGCCGTGGTTAGCATTTCTACCTTGGAGATGAACCTGTTGGTTGCTTCCATGAAGGTCTGGTCAAACGCCGAGAATCGGATTGCGTGACCAACTTTCAGTTTGCCTGTTTTGGGGTCAATGGTATAGAGAACACGAGAGCCTTCCTTGCGAGTTCGGTAGTGCAAGAGGCCATGTCCGAACTTCTGAACGCCAACCGACCAAAACTCCTCTTGCTGGACATCTTGATAGAATGAGATGGGTATAGGGAAGAACTCGTCAAATAACTGAACACCGGGGTTTATGAGTTCCACGGCTCCTGCGTCGGCCATTGCTACATCAGGGGCAGTAGGCCAACATCTAGAAAAAAACCATCCCAGGGGCATGATCTGGGTATCATCCACAGAGATCATTGCCATTGTACTTCCAAGATTGACCTGTCAAGCGTGAGATCCCAATACCACACGAGGTAATGGAGATATTTACCGCTTTCTCGAAACTAAACCCTAGCTCTGACAAGGGTTCTTGGTCAAAGTAAACTTCAGGCGTCTCGTAATCGCCTTGCAAATGAGTGAACAGAAAGTCTACGGCATGCATCACCTCATGGGAGATGGTATTGGCTATGGACCACTCGATGGACATGCGTTCTGCCGAGTTCAAGTCATCTCTCAGCAGCAACTCGAACTCATGGAGACTCAGCCATGTAAACAACCGAGGCAACTTATTTGGGGTCGGATCATAGCGCATATATTCGGAGTTGGTACCGGTGTAAGCCAATGTTTTCCCCGGTGGATCTTCACCGGGATCCATGGGATCTTCGTCATGCCGCATGAACCCAAAGGTGTATTGATATCGATTTTGCATCACGCCAAAAGCCATGTCTCTATCCGCGGTCGAAGCCATCTGAGGATTGAACTCGCTTACTGTGCGTGGCTCTATGTATCGCAAATCTGTTCGGCCTTGGTCTTCAGGTTTCAGTCTTGATGATGGAACAGGCTTCCTTTCCGCACGTAAGACGGCATCGAACTAGAAATCTGTCAACGCGTGCACTCGCCAAGTGAAGCATGGTCGTTCATTTACCCACGGGAGAAGATGAGCGGAGCCGAGAATCTTCGACGCCAGAACGAGGATCGGTTCCAGGATTGGCCACACTACATCGTTGTGGGCAGACCACATTCCGCGCCCGTCTTCCAATGCATAGAGATCGCTGCGCGGGAAATCAGGCTGGACTGGGTTCGTCTCCCAGTTCTGGCGTGCAAGCATCGGCAGTATATACTTGGGCAGATTTCCCGGGATCAGTTCTCGCGTCGGGAGACAGTCAAGCTGTCCCAATTCGCGTGTAGTGAAGCCGTTGAGATTCTTCCTTTGGTATTGTTCATACCTATCAGATGAATCTGGGAAGACCGCCCCCAGCGTCGGAAACTTGTATTCCGTGGGCGTATATCCGCTTTTATGGCTAGTGGGCGAGAACAGTCCATATTTTCGTGCCCAGGTGGTCAATGGTCGCCTGGGACCAGCTAGGGGCCGTGGGGATGGTAGAGGTGGTAGAGGTGGTAAATCTGCCATGATGATGACCAGTTTGCGTAGCCTTACTTACGTCTACTTTGTGAGAGCGTTCAGTGCGACGTTGAATAGATTGACCATCAACTCTCTTTGTTCTTTTTATGCTGATTATAACAATGGCAGAGGATTTCCCGGTGGACAAACCATTCGGTTTCTTTATCGGCCTAAATGAATAGTTCCGGATGCGACGAAATGAAAGAAGTGAAAGGAAATTCAAATCCACAAAGCGACAATCCAACAAAGACATACCCACCTGACCTCGACATCGCCAAGTGAGTTTCGAGTTCGGCATTGCACTGCACAGTTTTTGATTCCGACTCTTGTGCATTTGTTATTTGATACATTTGTTTCGTATATTAGCTGCTGCTTTTTCACATTGTAAAGCTCTGAGGTTTCACAAAATGTTGCCCTTTCGACCACAGCACGAAGCCGCTTTCCTCGCTAGCGAGCCGACCTGGCGGCACCGGATCGGCAAAGGATGGCACGGAACCAAATTCCTGGGGAGGGGGAGCTTCGGAGTGACAGGACTGTGGGAATATAAAGGAAATGATCCGAATCCACCGGCGCTGAAACACGTCGTCGTAAAGCAATCGCAACTCGAAGTCTACATGCCGGGAGGAGGCCGTCGATCAGCGCTCGATGAAGGCAATATCGGACGCACCCTTTCCGTCATCAACGCCAAACATCTGGTACGGCAATATGGGGGCAACCGACTTGGGGACTCGTTTGGAGAGATGGGCAGCGTCATTCGCATCTTTATGGAATACTGTCCCGGGGGAGACCTGAGTCAATTTGTGCCTATGAGCCTAGCGGCGATGAAGGAGAAGCCTGAGCCTCTTTCTGAGATGGACTGTTGGGCAATCTTCAAGTGCTTGGCTTTGGGGGTTCTGGCTATGGATAAGAGGACGGAAGAACCGCTCGATGCATTGGAGTGGAACGATGATGAGGAGCTGATGCACTGCGATCTCAAATGTGACAATGGTGAGCACTTCCCTCCTGCACTTCTAGATATATCGATCAATCGCCGACGCCAGGTGCAGTATTTCTAGGATATCGTGACAAAGACCATGCACGGATACCAATTCTAAAGGTGGGGATTGGTAATTCGTTGAGCAATTGCAATCTTCAAAATTTACTGACGTACTCAGATCGGTGATTTCGGGGAGTCGATTATGGTTCCGTCGCAAGAGCTACAAGACGACGCAGATGGAGGGGTCTTCCTAGACAGAGGAGCTCCTGCTTTCAAGCCACCCGTCAGTACCTCCGGGTTGGATCACCCAGCGTCATAGTCGTTCTTTGGCTGATAGATCACAGGAAGAAACGATTAATTGGCCATTTGGCCCCTGGCAAGAAACCGGAATTGGAGTGCAGAATCCCCGGAAAGGCACCTGTTCCAATATATGGCAAGTCGGAGCCATCATGAACTGTCTCATCCTCCAAGTAAGCCACGACTTTAATCCTAACCGCTGCGATGACCCTCGCGATCCACGAACCTCTCGCTCTTCTCTGGCAGAGCGAGGCACGCCTTTAGCCTCGAACCTAAACCACAGTATTCAGCTGGACAGAGGCGAAGAAGCAGAACGATACTCCAAGACCCTCCGAATGCTCATCCAAGAGTGTCTCTTCCGGGAAGCACCCCTGCGTCCATCTTCAATCCGACTTGTAGACGCCACAAGCCAAGGCCTAAACAGCACTATGCGAGGCATTCTCGCGCTCACAAGACGAACCGGAAACTCGGGATTACAAGCACTACCAGCAAACATCCAAGCCGTGGCCGTGCGCATGCCAGGCTATCTCGACCCGGAACCACCGACATCCTTTCTCGTCGACCACCGAGCGTGGGACGAAGCGCTCATCCCAACCTCTATCCTGGGGGGAGGGACTATCGGTGGGCTCGTCACAGGACTTGCTCGGCCAATGCCAGCTCTAGCAGGCAGAGCAGCTACATTGGTCGCAAGCAGTGCTGCGTCTACCGCCAGCTCGCTCTTGAAAGGCGGCTTCAGATTTCTGTCTAACAAGATCACTGGGCCAGAAAGTGGTCCTCCGGCGGATGGGCGCGCCCGCAGCCGCTCCATTGGGTATATCGTGAAAGCAAATAGAGTGTCGAAGCGACGGAACGCTGCACCTCCGCTGGTGAACCTTCAAGCCGATGACCCTGGGTTTGTTGTTGTAAGTAGAGAGAAGTGAAGTAATGAGCTTGTATGGTTGCAATCGACCCCGGGTCCCCAATTACAGCACTTTCGTAGCCGATCTCCTTGAAGGAGAGGGTAGAGAAGTTTCAGCTTGAGTATGATCACCGAAATCGATTCGCGATTCTTCGATCGGGCTGGTGCTATGTTGTGATAATATGCCTAGCCTCACTTAGCTTCTTTCTCCAGCCCCTATTTTCATGCGACTGCGAGGAGGTAATCGTAGATAAAGACGAAAATAATCAAAAGGCTTACCCTAAAGCAAATACCATAGATGCAGCATTTCATGTTTTTCATCTCCCGTGAAGTGAAGAATCATGACTCAACTCGTAAAACGTTGAGCATGTGACGGGATCCGCATCCTCGCTAAGAAATCTCCTAATCAAACTCATTGTTGACATCCTCGCTTCGCTAGTCGGCTTCCGACACGTTCACAGCCCTCGTCTCCACAAGCTCCGACCTCGACGACAGAACCAGGCTTCCCAAAGCCCATGGAATAGCTTTAAGAATCCTCACTCTAATCATCCTCGTCGAGATCCCCCATACGGAGACAAGTGAGTCATACTCCCATCTCCCATCTCCCAGCTGTCGTTCCATCCCAAGCCAGGCAGCACCCACACCTACCATGGTACTCTCGTTCGTAGATGTAGCGGGTGATGCTTATCTTAGCCCAGTTATGTACAGTCCTCCTCCCCCACCCCCAATAACTCCCAGCAAGCCAAAGAAGACAGAGCACTTGCCATGCAGCGAATCACAGACTCCAGTGCAGACAGAACCAACATTTTTCTAGTGGTATCTTGCTACCCGGGCTACTGTGAGCATGTCAAGTCAGAAATGTACCGTATGCGCGATTGCCGCTGAGAATATTGCGAAGGTTGACGAGGTGTTCAACAGTAACAACAAGGAGGATGGCAAGATGAGAAACAGAGGCGCTACTACCAGCAGATGCATGTAAAAGAGGTAAGATAACATTGCCTGGAAAATAATGGCCTCGTAGAAGCAACACATTCGAAATGAGAGGATCGAACAGGGTCGTTTATATAGACTTAACCCTGAGCCCCTGAGCTCGGACGTAAGCCATATGGCCCACAGTCAAAGATCCTGCATTTATAGCGCCCGGTATCGCATTTACATGCCCGCCCTCCCATATCTCAAACGCCAGAAATCAATCGCGGTCCGCCGGACCAGCAAGATGTATACGCTCCCGTGCCGTACCAGATCACCAAACGCCAACGCTGCGCAGAAAGCAAATCATTCTTGGTAAGCGCATCTCTACGCTTAATAAGTCTTCGAGTTTATTAGGCGATGTTTCGCTTGTTGTTCAAACACCAGGTCTCAAGTCCACGATCTGGAACTCCAGGCCCTCAGCCTCAAACACGTGACCCGGCCTCAGAGCACCCGTGTAGAGGTTCCGCTCCTCGTGAGGATGGAAAAGCGAGGATTGGGTGCATGAGGCAATCGCTTGTTTTCCAGGTGGATCTGTGAGGCGGAACACCCCCCATCTGTCACGAATTAGCCAACCGAAATGGGATTGGGGGGAAAGAACCTACGAGGGACTCTTGCTCGGCGCGCAGACAATCGCAATACTCTCCTTCATCATCGTCTGGTATCCAAAGTGTGTATGCAAATCCACGCTGCTCATGAAGCAGCTCTGCGTCGGATGCGTGTGAATCCATCCTAACAGCAGTAAATCCTCGCTGGAGCAGTACTCGAACAGCGAGTTTTCGTTGACTGTCTCGCAGGTATCACTAGTCGACTTTTGTTCTGGGATGACGACCCGTCGAATGAAAAGCGCATTGGATATGAGGGAACCGCAGAGCATGCCACAAGTCTCCAGGTTGCGCAGTGTGTTGGGCTCAGCTATCTTGAGAAATTCTTTGCGAAGGGTTGGAGGAAGGAATACGGTACGGAGGGGCTCGCCGCTTTCTAGGTAGGCGGAAGGGCGGAAGGTGAAGTTCTTTTGAGATTGAGATTGGGAGGTGTCCATATCTGGGCGGACCGGAGTGGTCTTTTCAGGGCGCGGAGGAGGCTCTAGCTCGTGTAAGAAGGCTGATGGGCTTTCTACTGGTAATTTTGGGGGTAGAGATGGTAGTGAGGGTAAAGATGAGGGGGAATTAAGGTTATCCTGGTAGCTGAGAGGTTGAGATACAGTGATAGAGGGGTATCGGTATTGGCTGTTGGCGTTCCTGAATGGCATGGTAGGAGTAGCTCGTGGCCTTGAAGGATTGTCCCGAGCTGTATCAGGAACCATATCATGGGCTCCGTCCATTCTTCTCCTTGAAGCCTCCATATTCCTTTGCGTTTCAGCATCGTGATTCGACCTGTCCCTAGAGAGTGCAGATTCCCAGTCGTCCCAAAGTCCACCGGCAGTTCGTCTTTCTTGTTCCTCTTGTTCAGATACACCCGCTTGCCTTGTAGACTTCTTAGCTGCGTCTCGCCGCCTGATTTCTTTGTGTGCCAGTTTAACTGCCAAATGGCTGTTGTCTGCAGCGGCGAGTGTTGTTGTGTTTCCTGCAACCGCCGGGTCCGAAGCCGCCGCCAAACCTGACCGTGATCTCTGATGGCCCATCCTGAGGTGTGCCTCTCGCCTCCTCTCCATCGTCTGCTCCCAAACATCATAACGATCATTGATCCGAGGTTTGAGAACTTCCAAGGTATCCAAAACCCAAGGGAGGCTCCTCAACGCCAGCTTCAGCCCCTGTCGGTTCTCTGGATCTTTGGCAGCCGGATGTGATGGGAGTTTTTCGGATACGAGACTTGCATACCGGATGAGGAGCAAGTACGCCTGCTGGTCATTCCCCTCCTGTTCGTATATTTGTGCCTGCCGGCCATCAGCAGAGCTTCAAGCCCAGTCAGTCTTAAGACGCCTACGTACCTCTCGAAGCAGCGTATCTGCAGTCCGCACCCAGTATTTGAAGGGAATCAAAGGATTGAAATCAAAATCCTGACCTCTTGCGGCAATGTCCTTCACGGTCATGGGCTTGGAGACCTGGAATGTCGACCCCGCCATGATCGCTGCCCGGCCCTGCCCAGCCCGTCGCTGTCCCGTCCTCCAGCTATTTTCAAAGAGTTCCGGGTGCTAAGCGAGTGGAAACCTGGATTTTTCAAGAATTCTATTCCGGCAGTGGCAGATCTGGCGGTTTTGTTGTTGTTTTTGGTGGCGAAGCTGTTCGTTTGCCTGCAAGTTGTTATGCGGATTACTCGATTGTTTGCATTGCGCGACGGATATGTCGCCAAGACGGCAGAACATCGGGTTTTCAGCCTCGAGAAAAATCAATGTTTAAGCTCGACCTGTCAGCCTCATCACTTTTCTGTCCTGAACAATTCTAGTCAATTCGTCTTTCTCACTCATCGTCCCTGTCCCTCCCTCTTACATTGCCTCCTTTCACGGCCTTGCTATTAATTCCCATGCTTTTTACAATTCCAGGAATCACATGGTTTCTGTCCCTCCTTTATTGATGTTCAGAATCTATAAAGCGAGCAGATTCGCGCAACTTCGAACTCCAGCAAGCTCGGCTTTTATAAGATATTTCCACATAGCGCAAGCCCTCCTATCCACTCGAGTTTCTTCAGCTATTGAAAGCGGAAAGGGGCCCCGAGGCTCGCCGGGATCAAAGAAAGTCCCAGATATACTTGAGAAGGACACCGACGCACTTGTAGGAGTGATAGAAAATGATGTCCCGAAAAAACGGACAAGCCGAAAGAAAACAGAGGAGCTTTCAGAGGAGTCAAAAGATGGCACTGTTCCCAAGAAACGGACACGACGAAAGAAAACAGAGGAGATTGTAGAGGCGTCAGCAGATGACAATATTCCCAAAAAGCGAATAAGAAGAAAGAAAACCGAGGAGCTTGTAGAGTCAGCAGATGAAAAGACTCCCAAAAAGCGAATCAGAAGAAAGAAAATAGAGGAACCTGCCGAGGAACCTGCAGAGTTGTCATCTGGTGGCACTGCTCCCACCGAACAGAGAACACGTCAGAAAAAGGATGATGCTCCTCCATCAGATGCTGGAGAGGAAGCCGACGAGGCACTGACTCATTCTGAGATCATCCAATTGGAGAGGCTAGGGTCAATGTTGACTTTGGGAGTGAGCAAGGTACCCGGCAAGAAGAGTGGGAAACTGTTCGTTGGTCGCGAAAAGCATGAAACATACCCGAAGGAAAGCAAATCACCAGCGACCAACAAGAAATCGAGTATACATAGCGGCTTTCTCGATCATCCCCGACCCGAAGATCCTTACAATGACATTGAAGGGTACATGAAATGGGCAATGGGAGGCAAGTATTTTGGAGCTAGGCTACTTGGAGACCCTAAGCGGATGAACATCATTAGCGAGGGAGCATGTGGTAATGATCCCTACCTTCAACCAACTATTTTCCTTTACTGACATGCCTAGATGATATACTTGACCGTCTGAAACCATCTCTTGAGAAGCTCAAGGGATGTGACGTTATTGACCTCAATCCTGGAACCGGTGTATGGTCTTCCAAGCTACACGACTTCCTCAAACCCCGCACGCATATCCTCATGGAACCTGACCACAAGCTGTATCAACCTCTTTTGCAGCCTCTGGTCGATGTACCAGGATCGACGTACAAACTTATTCCCAGATCCGGCATTGTCTGGGGTCATCTGGAAAGTGTAATGAATCCGGAACATCTCCCCTTCCAGGTGGCACCAAGCAGAGGCGATCCCCTGCTCGAGCAGCCCAACAACACTCTCCTAGTCACTGCCAATCTGGCTTACAACCCCAAGAAGCCTTACCGTGGATTCTCTTCTCTTACACAGATGGTGCTGTATCAATTTGTGTCTGCTATGAAAACACATGCTCTTTTCCAGAAGTACGGTCTCGTCCGACTACTTGTCTGGGTTAATGACGAAGAGAAGAGTCTCGTCCTCCCTAGAAATATGTCTTATCGCAGGAAGGCAGCCGTCGAAGCCGGAATCATGTGCTCCAAAATCGAAGAGGTAGCATCTTCGACCGAAGAGACTAGCTTCTGGGTAAGAGAGGAGCACGTTTCTCTTCAAGGTACTCGTAAAGTCATGGAAAAAATGAAGACCAAAGGCATTCATACACCAGCTGGGCGGGAAAGCACGGCCATGCAGAAGCTGAACAGCAACCAGCCCATAGTTTCGTTGTTCAATGATTGGACAGAGCGCGACTCGTTTATGAACGAATATCGTGTGCTCGAGCGAGCAGACAAGTTAGGTTACCTTGATACCATGAAGGCAGGAGAAGCCATCCGAGCCCGCTTCAAGGTGATGAGATGGACGAAGCTTAGTCGCCAAAACTTTGGTCAAAATATGCTCGCCTTGACCAATGAGTACGACTATTTACTCCGCGCACGCAAGGCTTTAGCCACAAGAACCGGCCGGGCGGTGGAATCCCAGCTCAAAGCCCTCGCGGCCAGGGAAGCGGACTGGCAAGTTCGCGTTGGGAAAATAAGCGATGCCGGCAAAACGGATTTCAGGAATAACTGCGAGAACCGCGCCGCTATGTCCCTTGACCCGCCACTCCTCCTCTGGGATCGCAGGGACTACGAGCCTCTGAAGCTCCACAAACACGAGTTCTTCCCCCAGAAGGAAATGTGTCTCTTGGACCTCCAGCCGCAATCTCTCTGGCCTGTCCTCCGTGAGAAGTTCCCCGATAATTTCGACGTCTTGGAGTACATCCTCAGCTCTTTCTACACCCTCATGTCGCAATCGGTCAAGAGCGGCCTGATGGGACTGGTGCCCGGCGCATACGAGTGGATTGACCAGGAGTGCAAGATCATGAAGGATCCGCTGCGGGGCGGAAACCCGGATCTGGACAAGCTGAGCGTGCGCTCCTTGACGGACGAGATGTTGGAGGAGATTGTGATTGCCTGGCTGAAGTGGCCCTTTCGCCCGAGCAAATTCGAGATGCTGAGTCGGATGGGGAGCTCGGTATATGATCCTGATCAGGACCCGGACGAGGGGGTGTACCTCGGGACGGGAGGGGCCTGATTGTTTGTAATGTACGTTTTGCGTTGCGTTGCGTTGCGGGGGGCGTACATAACAGAAAGGTGGAAGAAAAATCTTGGAAGTAGTAAAATATTGCGGTGTACGGTCTGTGTACATATGTGTATACTAATTCAGCAAATTTTTTTGGGGGAGGTGGGGGGGAATCGGATCTGCTATTGCTGCTATTTTCGACTTGGTTCTCACTTCCTACATGTATTGTTGTTTCGCGTCATTTCTTACACTGCTAGGCCAGTAGACACCATCGTGAGCCCTCCTTCTCTAATGTTGGGGAATCTGAAGAAAAAGTTCTCACTCTTCAGTCGTGCAATAGACAGGCGGGCGAGACCCTTTTGAAGTTTGCATGCTTCGAGGAAGGAACCTTCGCTGATTTCATTTCCCAGACAGTAAGCAAGACCAATATGTATAGGTATAAAATGTGACCGATAGCTAATATCATATCATATCTGGGATTGATTCATGCTCGAAACTATATAGACATTTAATAGTGAAGAGCTATTCCCCCCC